TAGCCAAAGAGGCTAGTTCAATTATCCTCCTGGATGACAATTTCCGATCCATCGTTACGGCGATCGCCTGGGGACGGACGGTAAACGACGCCGTTGCTAAGTTCCTTCAGTTTCAAATCACGGTCAACATCACGGCCGTTATTCTGACGTTTGTGTCGTCCATCTATAGCGATTCGAATAACCCCGTACTTAATGCTGTGCAGCTGCTCTGGGTGAATCTCATAATGGACACATTTGCTGCACTAGCCCTGTAAGCGGAACCCTTCCTGTGGCATATATGTTCTTTCGCTAACACGACGTGAAACAGAGCCACCGATGGCCCGACAGCAGAAATTCTGGATCGAAAACCCGTACCCAAAAGTGCCCCACTCTTCACCATGAACATGTGGAAGATGATCCTCGGACAAACAGTCTACAAACTCGCTGTGATCTTCATGCTGTACTTCGCCGGGGACCAACTTTTGAATCCACAGCTTGACAGCAACGACCCAGATCTTCGATCCAAACAGCTTTCCACAGTTGTCTTCAACACATTCGTGTGGATGCAGGTTTTCAACGAATTTAACTGCCGCCGCCTCGACAACAAGTTCAATGTCTTCGAGGGCATGTTTCGAAACTACTGGTTTTTGGGCATCAATGCCGTTATTGTCGGCGGACAAATAATGATTGTATTCATTGGCGGCCAGGCATTTCGCGTGACTCGTCTCAGTGGGATTTTATGGGCTGTTTGTCTCATCTGTGCCGTGGGGTGTATGCCGTGGGCCATGATCCTACGCATGGTCCCCGACCACCGTTTTGCTTTCTTTTTCAATGCCGTCGTCGGCAGTCTATCGGTCGTCATGCGGCCATTTGTCAAGGGCCTCCAGGCCTTTGGTAGAGGCATCAAGGCTTGCTTCCGACCTGTCACCCGGTATATCCTTCGGGTTTTCTCTCGGCGAATCTCAAAACACAATGTTCAGGAGTCAACGAATCGTCAACCTAAAGACAAGGAATGGCCCGTTTCAATGAAGCTGAGGCATACTCCTGAACATCTTCAGGAGCCATCGCTACAGTAACCTCGTACCTCCAGTTATGACCATGACTTCCCCCTAATCTTCTAGTGTTTTTATGCCGCCCCAAAAGCATTTTCCTCGGACACCTCTCCCTTGCCTAATTGGCAGAACAGATCAAGGAAATCTGGGACACCGAGGATAATGTCAGCCGACACAGCATAGACGGGTTTGCACAGCGGATTGTTATGGCTCCACCGCCTCTCCAACGAGGACACGTGATACTATGGCGCATGCTGGATATCTACCTGCTAATCACTGAGTACATCAAGACTCGCGACCTCGAGAGAAAATTAAGCTTTTTGGCCCCTACTATTTAGTTTCCCTGCGGGCCCCACGGCAGCCTAAGATAGCGACAGGAGTCCGGATCTCGTCCACCAATGTCTACAGCATTGTCTTCCGTGTCGCATTGCTCTACATATGGCAATAGACAACATCTGCACGAGGAAATGGAAGAGTTATCCGCTGATTCGCCCGCTACTGTGGTAGCTTAGGGTCCACGCCAGCAGAGGTTGCACTCTACTTTGGCGATATCCAGGACGACATCCTGACTATGATAGCCAACCTAAACGATGCAGAGCAGATGTTATCTCGGTCGCAGTCCAAGTATCTTGGTCAGCTCTCATTTGGCTCCACCCGTACGCGAAATCAAATCGTGGACGCTCTTAGTCGGCTGACTGTTATCGCGGCTATCGTCGTCACGATGCAGGTCATTACCGGTCTCTTTGGTATTATGTAGATGTGTCTGGGCTGCATGTGGGCAGTTTGGCCTGGTAGTTTGGCATACTAGGGCTCATTCTAGGGCTCATCTTGCTTCCTTTAGTAATTGCGAGAAGAACGCAGGTCATTAAGTGAATAGGGATATTTTGGAGATACAAGCTTATGAATGATATGAGTCTAAATTGCTACAGCCGTGCTCGTACAAGATCAATCTTTCGCCTTTTCAATTTTAGTGTACATCATTTCGCTGGTATTAATTTCCCCACTCTGTTGAGATTCCGTCAAGGCCTCTCGACATGGTAGGCTTGAGCATCGCTCGCTCGTAAGGCAGAAATGATGATACGTGGGAGTGACACGATGGAGCAGAGTTGTTGTATGAGAATGTACTGCCATCAAGACCGACCGCTCCTTTCGGTGGGAAGATACGCCCCGGGTCATTTAGGGAAAACGGGCGATTTGAAAGCCAACGGGATGTCTGCATTCAAGAAGCGAAATGAAAGTGTCAGTCGCCAAAATATGTGTGAATGCGGTGAATTGGTTGATGATACCTGAGAAAAGCAAGTATCATGATTCTGGCCCATGTCATCGTTTGCAGTCAGCGAGTCGAGCAGACCTGAACTCATACCAAGCATAAGGCCACCGCTAATATCCCCAGTGAATTTGTTGCCATCACCAAAAGCCATTGTGGGATCAACCGTGTACTTCGTATCGGCTTCGAACTCGATCATGTTGAGCTCCGGCTGGAGCAGCTGTGGTTGAAGTTGTGACTGTTGCTGTTCGTGTTGGATCCACTGCATGATACCCCCATTGTTTCCTCCCTGTGGCCTGCTCCTTTGCTTCTTGTTCATGTTCAGGGGTTGCTGTATCGGCTTCCGCCTGTTCTTGCTGCCTTTGGGCCGACCGAGCCTATTACTGGGGCTGTAGACGCAGACTTTCTGAGACCTTTCACACATCAAGCACGGATTCTCTCTAGTACATCGGCTTTTCATTTGTCGGCATGTATCACAGGCGGAGAGGATCCGGCTGAACATCTTGGAGTTCTTGTTGGGCCCTACTGGTCTGGTTCTGGGTTCGGCTGTGGTTTCAGCTTGGCCTTTCTCAAATGAAAAGTGACTGGATTTTTCAGCGGACATGCTGAAGGGGTCTTAAAGCATGTCGTAATGAGAGATTCAGTCCTCTGGGAGCTCTCAGCCTTCTTTTAACATCCTCTGTAATGGCGGCTTACACTATGAAGTCCACTAAAATCGAGCTGAGCAAGAAAATAATGTAACATCGGGAACACACCCCATTTGGAGTCAAACGCTACTGCAAGCCATAACGGTTTGCACGGCGAAATACGAGGCCTGTAATAGTTGGCAGTAACTTATCAGAGGACTACCCTGTAGTCTTAGTCGAGCACTACTCCATTAGCGCTAGGTCGCTTACATATCTGAAATAAATGGATACGAGGATATCTCTTGATGAGACAAATAGCCGAAGATAAGGTGGATAAATTCGTGAACGGATGCAAAAGTACTAGCTACCTGCGCAAGGTACATACCCTGAAGATATAACGCACGGTATCTTTCCTACTGGGGCTTGCTTTGGGGAGCATGCTTGTTGAATGCAACATATGCCCAAAGAGCGTCGAAAGGGGGGAACGGGCACGGAAAAAACAACCGTAAGTGCCCGATAGGTCATCGAACAAAACGAGATCTCACGCCAAGACGGAGCAAGGTTTAGGAATCAAAATCTCGACGAAGTGGCGCCATAGAGGAGTTAATTGAGGCAGTAAGGAGCGTGTCCAAACTTCACGATATCCTACTTATCCTAAGAGGTTGTGGATATTTTTTCTTCCACCACCTTGTCCCCTTCTGCAAACATCAAGCGCCACCCCGTGGCAGCTCAGTCTCGCATCAGGTCAAGGCGCAGACTTTTGGGGACTGATGGAATCGAGATTGAAGAGTCGGAGACCCTACAGACCCTACACATGGAAATAAATCATAGTCCATCCAGGCCAACGCGACCCAGCGGGCTCAAAATAAGCTACTCGATTTCGGACTATTGTGACACGGAAACCTCGATCGAGGAACCACAAGCTAGGACCCTGAGTGCTCTGCCCACTCCATCCAAGAAGACTCGATCTAAGGCAAAGGAAGCAACCGAGCATCAGTGCGGAGAGGGAAGCCTAGCTGTCGAAGAGACTGAAAGGGCCATTGAGACCCTTTCGCTGTCAGTAAAGCTTGAAGACTATAGTGAAGATGCACCAGCTGGGCCATTGCGTCAACCTTCGCCGAAAAAGGCAAAAGAACCCAAAG